AAAAAACACATTGTGCACAACCATATGGACGACATACGTACGATTAGCTATCATAAAGCTAATCTAACGTCTTGAGCGATCTCAACATAAAAGTTTAATTGAATTCATTTATCAGCAGCAGCAGCAACAGCAGCAGTCTCATATGATCCTAGAAAATTGAGTGGTTATGTGCGTTCAAATGAATTATGTGGATTAATCGGATATTATTGAGAAGTTTATGCTTGCAGACAGCTAACCAGAGCTATCATGAACCACAAGTAAAATGAATAACTGAGCAGATAAATTTCTAAGAAATGATACTTCTTTCTTTTAGTTCATCGCAATAATCATTAAGTTTAATGAATTTTCGCATATTTACATTTACTCTCATAGTGGTGTAACCTCTTCAGTGAAAGCAGTCCAGTTAGTTCATTTTGCGCATTTATACAATGGCGATCACTCACAATTCGTGGTTTTGAGATGAACTGAGATGAGCCAAAATTCGATGACTTTTAAATGTTTTCGTAGAGTAAATTGTTGAAATCACTATTGTTGTCGGTGCTTTCAGATGCCTTCGTTAAGGGAATTCGTTGGTCAGAATGTTCACCGGCTACAGCGTAAACTCGTTCATGAATCATCGTTACTTTCGCTTAAAAGTCGGAAACGATCGCAGAGTGAAAAAGAAGAGTTAATTCTACCGGATACGTTCTGGTAACATCTTCACTCTGATTTCGTTGATTTCATTCTATGCAGATCGAATGTGTTTCGCACTTATTTCAACGCTTTTACCTTGAACATCGATCGTTATGATTCATCGAATAGAATGCAANGGAAACGATCGCAGAGTGAAAAAGAAGAGTTAATTCTACCGGATACGTTCTGGTAACATTTTCACTCTGATTTCGTTGATTTCATTCTATGCAAATCGAATGTGTCTCGTACTTATTTCAACGCTTTTACCTTGAACATCGATCGTTATGATTCATCGAATAGAATGGAACAGCGCTCGTCAGTCTTTGAAGTTAAGTTTTTGCTGGTTGACGCGATACAATCGGGCGAACAGCAACTGACTAACGCTTAATGCTATTCACATAAAGTAATCGCCACGAAAAGTTCACAGAAAGTGTTTTTTTTTTGGTGAATTTGCAGCGAAAAAATGATTTTGAGAAGAGTGATTGCGGTTTTGAATTTTTAACTATTGTGTATGCACTCGTGCAAAACACTTAGAATGAGTATGTGTTTGAGTATTTATAGAAATTAATTTCATTGTTTATAGGTCAGTTGTATTTGACTACACGTCACCGTTCGACTTGATCAGTTGGCGACGTGTTAGTAAGCAATTCAAACGTTTGGTCGATGAACGTCTCGAGAATGTTCTATATTTGGATGTTTACAGAATGGATATCAGTGCTGTTCTGGCACATCCACAAGACACTCATGGTTCGTTTCGGAGTAGAGCCTTCGACTTCATTCACAACTCGTTAAATTTCACAACCGAATCGCTTCATCCGTAATGATCAGCTTGTGAACGCAAAAAAATACATTGTGTATCGAGCAATCTCAAGCAATTTCATTAAGTAACATGTGCTCTGTTCAGTGAAGCAAAATAAATTTGTGTTGTCCGCTCGTAATCGAAGGATTCGAGTTGGCTTTCACTTTTCTGCGCGAATGATCGAAAGTAATAGGAAACGTAACGGATGGATGATAGTGTTGTCGAGATGTTGGTGTTGACAACAATTGACATAGTTTTCGCGTCTAAATGTCCATTGGTCGCTTATATTTTGTCGATCATGCTTAGACTAGCTCAAACGATTCAGTTGATTCACATTCATAACAATATTGAACTCTCGTAGAAGCAGAAATAACGAGTAAGCATGTTTATGGCTGATTGTAAGCATTGTTTGGTTCGGATGAGTATTTTGGTCTCTGTGAACTCAAAATGCAAAACATCTAAATAAACGCTCGAAATGGCTATAGAAAAGCATCGAACGACCAGTGGCACTCTCGAAAAATAGTCAGCGAAGGCTACTAGATGAAAATGTATTTGTTGAAACCTAATGTGTTCGTGCCACTTTTCGGGTTTTCACGCTTACTGCACTCGTTAACCGTCTTGAACTGGAGCATTGCGAATGTGCCTACGAAAGTTGATCATTATTCAGCCTTGCTTGTAGTTGACTGAGTAATATTCGTGAGAGTGACTTCTATCACAGAGTTATGGAATAATTTCAGGTATATTCTATCGTCATCGAGCAGCACAGCTGCTCATGCAGCTCGACTCACATAACGTGACGATAATTGTGAATGAGAAGTGGTCGTCAAGAGATGTGACACGATTATTTGTTGCCATTCAGCTGTTCGCAAAATCTGCACAAACCGTTCTGGTGATTGATTTGTTTGCACTGCTTCGGTTTTTCATGTCAAACACGTCGACAATTTGCACTGAATGGCATTAGATGCAAAATTTCATTTCAGAGACGATATTTAATGAAAGAAATGTTAAACAGTCGCATCCGCACGCAAGAATTTAGCATTTAGAATGACAAAACATATCGCAAACAACTAGATTTGGAGTCAGCGTAAATATTCCCCGATAAGCTGTTGAAAAAAGCCGAATAACCGAAAGATTGCCGCTGTTTAACAACTAATAGAGTGCGATTTGTTGAGGCGACCCAATGTGGTAATCCTATTAACGATCAATTTTTAGATGGATGTCTCAATAGCTGAACTAGTGATTGCTGGACTGTCCAGTATGGACTTATCTCGTTGGTTCGCATTTCAGTGCTATTTGAGAACACTGGACGGCGGTGATACAGAAGATTCGGTTCATGTGCAATGCATTAAGCAAGATCATCTCAACAGCTTCTTTCCTCGATTAAAAGAGGTCGGCGATTGGCACAAAAATAATCTCTAAAGCAAACAAATCCTGATGCGCATTGTGTTTCGTATTTTCCAATTCCAGTGCATTGTTGAACCAGCTGGATATATCTGATTGAAACGAATCGTTTCTATTTGAGCAAGAAAAGATATCTCTTCGTTAAAAACTATCGCTTGTGTTCAAATGGGTAGCAAAATTTTGCACTGAACATATATTTTGATCGATGAAGGGCAATTCTACGAAGAATTTAGCAAAAAAATGATTTCGGATGTTTCAGTTTTCGCTACGAGTTACGGAAAAGGACTTTCCGGCGCTATCGCGAATGCGCGATTATGCAGTTGATGTGGAAACGATATTCTCACTGCGGGATGTCCACCTGTTTCGGGTCATACTGTTGTCAGGCAAACATCTCGCATCGGCAACGTGCGATCCGCAAATCTCCAAACAACGAACGTCTCGTCATTTGCGTGCATTCAAGAAGTGGATTGGATCATCGGAACTCGGCGAACGATACTCTCAGCAGTACTCCTGAACAAACAATGCCCTTGTTCCCTGTTCACTTCCTATTTTGTGTGCATTGTTTAGAAATGTTTTCCTAAATCAACTGGATGGTAACGTGATCCTACAACCCTTATCGTGAAGTATCAAGAAGCATCAACTGCGTGAATATTTCCCGTCTGAATTCTTAATCGATTTGAACAATTTGAAGGGAATTTTGCAAACAACTAAGCGAAAAAATAAACTCCGTTGTAGTGCAGTTGCAGCCAAACGGCCAGTGTAACACGCTCGAATGACAATCTAAAAGTTTTCACGCATAAACGCTGTACGTTTCCAGTGATTAAAGTCTACCTGTGATATGTATTATAATTGAAATGTGTTCATCATGTTTTGCCATGTTATTTTGATTTGTTCGTTCAATGTATTTGTTGTATAATACTCATTTTATATTGTTGTTTTTTTTTCTGCTTCCTT